CGGCAGAGATTTCTTCACCGAAGCCCAGTTATCAACCCCGTCAGCTCTCGAAGGCTGATCCAATTCCGAAACCCTAGAATTGTTCCCCCTGCGTGGTTCTTCATCGAATCCACCATAGGATCTTCTCCCTCCACCCCAAGAACCATCACGGTTGTCATCTCGGTCTCTCGTAGGTCCACCGGAGCGGCCGTAGGAGGAGAATCCGCCGCGGCTGAACTGCATTTCCTCGGCAGAACGCTCCTTAGGGCCGGTGGGGAGGCGGAGTATCTCGTCCGGCGTCAAGCCACGGTACTCCGACGACGCAGAACCACCAGAGCCTCCACCGGAAGCGATTTTGGATAACTCAGATAGCGACATCTTCTTCTTTTTGGGTTGTTTGACATTCACAGCTTCCTTGAGGCTCGGGAAGTTCTGTGATGAAGCGGTTTGGGAAACAGCTTCGGCTTCACGCTCTTCAGCTTCGGCACGCTCCGAATCTGCGGCCCAGGCTCCGATGCTACCCCAAGGTTTCGACATTTTGTTTCTTTCACGATTTGGGAAAACGAAAAGGAGAGTTTCTTTCTTTCTTTATTTCTTTTGAAATAAGTGAAGTTGGATCGGTTAATGGAGCCGGAGCTCCGAGAAAGTGAGAAGAAAAAAGGTTAGAGATTGTTTGTTTTGGGTTTGTAGGGAAAATAAGAGGAAAATGGAATATCCAGACACTCGTGTGTGAAGGGTGAAGCTGTTGTTTGGGGTATTGAATATCACGCGAGCGTGGGGGAGTGTGAAGGAACCACAGTTTATTTCCTGCCACTCGGGAATACACAAAATATATTTTAAAGGAGAGAAATACACTTTACTCCAAGAGTAAGTGTTTTCCAGATCATTCTTCAAAAATCTAATGGTTTGAATTTATGAGTACATCTAAACCATTAAATTTTTTAAGATTAGATGACTAAGATAAAGAATATGTATTTTTCACTTATCTTACAGTAATTGGATCTCTCCCCTATTTTAAGAGCTTTCTTAAATAATGGTATTAGAAAATAATGTTATATTATCGATTTTGTTATTTTGTGTCTTAAATTATCAATTTGGTGTTAATCGTAATGTTATATATTTTACTATTTATTAAATTGTTATGATACTTTTCCATTATCATGATGATTTATATATCTTCTAAGTTCTAACTTTTGTGATACTGGATTTAAAACTAACATACATTATAAATTATTATGCATATATTATATATATATATATTTATTTATTTGTGATTTGTAATGTTATATATGTTGGTATTATATATTTTACTAATTGATATATATCTTATTAAATTGCTGTGTATGTTATTAATATTGAATTGTATTGTTATATATGTTACTAATATATATATATATATATATATATGTATTATTAATTGTGAATTTGTGGTCATTCGTCTTTTATATCTAAATTACATAATTGTTATATATATATTACTATAATCAATTATGAGTTTCAATTTTTTACTCATAATACTAATAGCAATATTTTTTTTATACGCAAACAATGTCTTTTGTAATATATTTTGAAGTATAAATTGATTCAAAAAACTTAAAAATCATGAAAATCATAGAATCGAACCAAATTATTCATGAGTGGATTAATTTGATTTAGTTTTTGCAATAAAATTTATGATTAATTGAAGTGAATTGAATGGAAATAGCATGTATATAAAAGATTTGTGAATTAATTTTTTTACTGTACCCATTACCTTATGCATCTAGGGGATGAGTGACCTTTCCTGTAACGGTTACTATTGGTCGTGGTCACCGTATTATTCTAGACGAATAATCTTGGGACCGAATCTTCCAAAAGATAATTAAAAGTGTGAAATAAGAGAAAGAATATAAAGTAAGAGATATAATGTAAAGAATTATGTTGTACTTTGTGCATAGATGGATATTTACAGGGTTAAAGGGGTGCAAACTTTACAAAATCATTGAATCATTTGATCCCAGTGAATTCATGAGCCTGTGAATTAGTGCACCACACTTATATTATGCATTCCTAGGCCTCGGTCAAATTATAGAATGCTCACTGTAAGACTAACCTAGTGATCCAAATGGATGAGATATTCATCTAATCGATAAAGTCGAGTATCAATGCAAATGCTTTAGAAACATCAATAGATTAGGTTTACGCATTATATAGGGTTAGTGCATAATTTAATATTATTATTATGAAAAATGAATGGTGAATGATACAGTGACATTATAAAATCTTTTACACTGTCAGTATATACATATTTTTCTCTTAGGCGAATATGATCATTAAGTTTGGAGGGAAATGGTAGAAACATTAGTAGATGATTGGGATTGTGTCTTCAAATTAATTTAGGGACATTGTTACTTAAGGTACGAATGATTTATATAATGTTTTTAAGACTTTAGAATTATAAATACTTTAGTATTACATATAATTCAATATTATAAAAAATAATGGTTGAAGGAGATTATGGCAAGAAGTGCATTATTATATTAGTTATACTTGCAACACATTTTTTTTTATTATGCCACATATACGACTCCTCTGAAGTAAATTCATCCTTGAAAATTAGTAGGAATATATTTTTGAAATATATATAGTCCCTTTAGCTTATTTTTGGTTTGAGTAAAATGGATGGAAATAAAAGATGGGGAAAGAAAATGGAGTGATTATAAAACTTTCCCAGGAAAGAAAAGAGAAGGAAAAGAAAAAAAGTGTGTGACCTCATAAATTTTTTCTCAGCATTATAGGAAATAAAACCCACTTTTAAAAAAATAATATGATTTTTGGTAGATATTATATCATTATGGAAAACATATTTAATATGTCAAATCAAATAACTAAAAAAATATTTTTATACGATATATATATATAATGAGGAATATATGTAATTTAATATATTCAATATAATCTCATTCATTGTCTCCTCATTTTCTTTTACTTTTCTTTCAAACTAAACAATTCAAAAATCACTTTATTTATCTAACCTTCATTCATTCTAAAAGTTTAATATGTTAGTATCAAATACAATTAGAGATGGAAGAAACAAAATGTATGTTTTGTCTAGTATATATGCTAAGAAATAAAATATTATAAAAATGGATCAATGTAAAAAGTTAATGAATAAAATGTCTATCAATATAAGTATGGATGACAAAAAATTTGACATATAAATATCCGTAAAAATACCTATAATGAGAATCCACGATAATAACTTATGGATGAAAATGCAATTTATAATACACGCTCTATGGGTATCTTTACTTTTTAATTAAATAATATATATATATATATATATATTATATTTTAATTATTAATTTAATATTATGTAATGTATACTTTAATATTATTTCATAATTTTTCATAATAAATTTTAGTAATTGAAGTATAATCATAAATTTATTATATACATATCTTATTGTTTATGTAATAATTATTTTTATATATTAAATATTATAAAATATATAAATAGATAATTAAAGTTATTAGTATCTAATATCTATACTGTTACTATGAATAAGTATTAGTCATTTAGTGGCACCCTCGCCAAACCCAATTTCATCCCTATGAGGAACTTTTTTAAGATATGAGTCTAGGATACTCCTTAGTTTAGTTGTTACTTTAGAATAGTACAAATAGACTTGTTAATTGTAAACGTAAAATAATACGTTATAATCAAACTACTTTTAGCAATTAATTTTCACTATTATTAAAAAACAGAGACAGTGTTTATTTATTTTAATAATTATGACAGAATAAAGCAAGTGTTTGCACTTGCAGTTTTTAAATGTTAAAGAATGTCTTGCTAATACTTTTTAATGAATTAAATAAAGAATCTATGCATAAATAATGTTTAAATAAATTGAAGATTTTCATACCTAACTTCATGTCACATAATTTCTTGATGATTTTCATACCAAGATTCATGTGACAATTTAAACAGTGTCTCACATTAACAAAACGTTTTTATTTTATCAAAGTCAAATGCAACTTTTAAAATTTTCCCAGCTACAATTTAATTTCTTCAATATTAAAAAAAAAAGTGAACTTTCTCACGCTGTTCACTTTGGAGTATATCAGTTCCTAATAATTGTTAATAAATACAATTTGGTTTTTTAAATTCAAAACGTGATACATTAGTTTCAAAACTTGAAAAGGGTTCAGGAAAGACTTATGAATGTTTGCAAGTTGAATTTGATTCCTATTTCACTAAAAATCAAATTAGTCTGAATTAATTATGAATGGTTGGGTTCTACTTCTACATGTTGATTGCTTTTTAAATCTTGTAATAATACTTCAAACATTATTTCATAAAATATCATTAGTTCATTTTAACATTAATCGATACGAAATGGGGAGGATCCACTTCCTGCAAGAGTAAATGGCAAAAACATATTTCTTATCATGATAATTTATTCTTAGGAAATCCAATTGTTTGAATTTGTTAGTACATTTAAATCATTAGATTATTTAAGATTGAATGACTAAGATGATGAATATGTCTTTTCCCTTATGAAATCATGACAATATTGTTTGTAAATTTTTAAAATCTGAATTTAAAGTGAAATGTGAAACGAAACTAAAACACATTTTTCAATTCATTTCAGTTCCATTAATTTTATGATTTAAACTCAAATTGCTTACAAAGTAACACCTTAAATAAATTACAGTTGTTACATCAACTAACAAGTCCAGCCTTTGAAAACCAGCTTTTGAAGATCACCCAAGAATACCAAACAGACCTTAAATATGAGCTCTATTCCTTTTTGTGTTCAGATAGTTTGAGGACAAAATGCACTTATAACACATATGTTCAGCAAAGTTTGAGCAAAATGTACCTTTTTATGTTATCTTTATTGTTTGTAACGTTGTATGACTATGAGGTGAAAAATACCAGCTCCATTTGTAAAATTGTATTGAATTAATGAAATCTTCACCTTCATATTTATATCCATACCAAACACAATGACTAAATTAAACAATGTACCAACAATTCCGACCTTAGCTCAGTTGGTAGAGCGGAGGACTGTAGTGGGGTTCCCCGAGCTGATATCCTTAGGTCGCTGGTTCGAATCCGGCAGGTCGGAAATGTTATATTTTGGTAACTTAATATACTTTTTTCTGATACAAAAAGAACACCATCAGCAATCTAATTAGAGTTTAAGACAAAACGGTGAGTTAATTTCAGAACTCAGAAGTCACCATTTTGACGCTGAAACGAACTGATTCCGTGACAAGGATCATCCGTCCCACTTCATGTACAGGCCAATCACAATATTATTACATGAGTAAAATTTAAAAATAAAAACTAACAAAAAATAAAATTTTGATTGGTCCGTGACAGGGAATGAGAGAGGGAATTTGTGTCCATGATTCTTAGCATGTGAACATTTCTAAGTTGTTTAAATTTATAGGAATATCACTATCGTAAAGTAAAAACGTTTACCAAATCAAGCTACCAATGGTGTTGGAAATAAAAGGTTGTGGTATCTACAAGTTAGATTATACAATTTCAATTAACAATTATTGTTTTAGGTAATAATAGGTTGTTTGAATGGTACCACAAAAAATCAAAAGTTATAATATATGAAAAAAATAGTTGAGATTAAACTTCACACTCACTCACGTACACACCTTAATCTCAAGGTAATTTCATTCAATAATCATCATTGCATGTAATGACCTCAAAATTACTAAAAGTTAATGTCTTAGTCAAATTAGCAACTTATATAACAAAGTTCTATGTCTAGCAACTTTACTCATAAGATTAAGATATATCACATTCATAACATGTCTCTATGTCTAATAGTTAATCCATGCAAATTTGAGTTAAAACGCAACACCTCAATTGTATTAGCCCATAATATATTGGTTTAAAACTAACACTTTATTAATCTACTTTTATGCCTAGTAGTCAAAATTAAAAAATTAAGTTATATGAATTATTAAGCATTCATATGTGTCTAGTAGTTACAAGTGAAAATAAGCTACTCGGATGGGTTCGGACTAGCTCACATCTGGTTCAGGCTAAAGCGGATTGGGCTAAAAAAACCTGAATATAATTTATACATATCAAATTGTAGCACAAGCCTGCCCTAAGCGGGTTACGGGTTGTGGCAGGCAGGTCCACGTAATACTAAAAAATATTTATTTTAATTTTAATATATTTAATATATATACATAATTTTATATTAATGTATAACTTTTTCAATGTAGTTCTTATGCCTAATGTCAAATCCACATATATGATATTCAAGATAACTCATTTATTAAATCTTTCATTTCTATTGGACTCTCACTTCATAACATAATATAACATGTAACTTCACTTCAATACAAACCTTTGGATACTATAAAAATAATATCACTTTGATTTATAGTATTGGTAGTATAATTCAAGTTCATAATATATGATCAACATTTTCATTATAAATTATTATGTTAAATTTGGTTGTCTGAAGTTCTCTATAGTAAACAATAATTTTTCCTTTAGTTCTGTTATAAAATTTATTTTATTTATTATGGTTTTGTTGTAGAAGTTAAATCTAATAAAATATACAATTAAGAAATGAAAAGTGGAACCTATATAGTTTAACATCTTCTCATTTGATTTGATACACAATTTTGTTATTGTGCCTAAGGATATTAGAAAAAATAATATAATGCTAAACTTTATAATGTTATTGTAATTTATAAATTTTTATCTTATAGTTTTTACTCTTTTTTTTTCAAATTTTATAACACAATATTTATTATTATTTTGTAAAATAATTTTTATCTAAGGCTTATTACCAAGCCAAAGATCCCAAAAAAAATTATAAAATAAGAAAAAATGGTTAGCCCGAACCCACTTTTAATATGGTCCGGGCTAAAAAGTCCGGGTTCGCTAAAATGTATATAATAAGATACTTAAACCCTATAAATTTTCGGGCTTTAGCAGGCCGGCCTGAGCGGACCGACCCATTTTGACACCTATACTAGTAGTCTATGTCATCTAGTTTGAGAGTTATAAAATTACAAGATTAGTTTTATGTCTAGATACTAAAAAATAAACTTCATGATATGACAAGTAATACAAGTCTATGTCTAGAAAATATAACAATTATCGAGTTATGCAAGTTTATGAATTAATAGATGAATCAATATGTATACATCAAACTTGTGTTACTTTCAATTCCAACAAGAGAGTACTTAGCTAGTCATGTCCACAAAATGTAAGAAATATAGGCACAATGCAAAATTCATGGGGTGGTATAACAACTCACAAATGAGCATAATTAAGTGACTACACTTGGATTTTATGAGCAAAACTCTGTAAAGCTTAGGAAAATAACTATTACAATTTAAATGTATCAAGTGTGTTACTTTTTAGCAAAATATTGTTCACATGTTGGCTTTGGTGCTCAGCGCAATGAAACTCTTCAGCTAGCTAGGTATGACCTTTCACCGCACCAACCTGCGCTTGGCGCAACTTCCATGTTGGACGAACCACCCATTGCGCTCAGCACAATTACGTGCACTGAGTGTATGAGTTCCAGAGACTAAACTTCTTAATTCTTTAATTCGAGCTCTCATCGCATAGTTTGCTCTAAGTGTGGTTCTTGCTCCACTGAGCATGGAGCTCATATGTTTTTTGATCCACTCAGCATGATCCTTGTGCTGAGCCTGATCGAGTTTAATGCGGAAACTTAGCTTTTTTCAATCATTCATTCGGATTAAGCTTGTAAAGCACTTCAAATATAATATTTGTTCATTTTAAAAAGTTTTAATCATGTATAGATATAATTTCATCCATTTTAAATTGTCGTAAAAAAGGTGTGAATTATATGATCAATTTGACACTTAACGGTTACTCACTTGTCAGGATTGTGATAATGTATTTGTTGATATTCCAAGTGTAAATAAGAATCTCACATTGTGTGGAAGGGAATGAGTTGAAGAACATATATGTGGATAGACATATAGACCTAATGTCTTTAGGTTTTTGGTCAAGATATGATGTCAAACTCAATTATTAGCTTTTTTCACTTAGCTCATGGATGAAAATCTCCTAACAAGTAGTAGCAGAGCGATGGTTCGACGACTCAACTGAGTATGGAAGCGGAAGTGATTGATATATCCATGTGAGATCTTTGTGACAAAAGTCTCATCGATGAAAGTCTGGGTGACATGTTTCTACTGATGACAAGACAAACCAAAAAAGGGTGCAAGTAGATAGAGAATTGAACTCTAATGTTATCTGATACTCGAATGAGAGTGATTCACACTTAAAAGGAGATATTGAATATTCCAAATGTGAAGAAGAAGTCTGTTATCTTGTAGAAGTGGATTAATTGAAAAACATATAAATAGGAGGATCTATAAACTTAATGTCTTAAGATTTTGGATCAAAATATGATGATAAAATTACTTGTATATTTTTTTTTTTGAGAAAAACAATTTAGCGAATTAATGAAAATCTGTCAGCAATATTATATTATTATTTAAAATCCCATCACCACATATCACCCATTATAAGATCAAAAGAAGACTTTTAATTTTAAGATTTAATATTACATTATATATACCATTAGGGTTTCTTCGTATTCCTTATCCAGTAAGGCAACCACGAAAGAATCCTAGCCTCTAAGAAGCTTTACTCAGAAAAATACACACATATAAATGATAAAGCTTTGTCAACTAAGTTTATTATTATTAAATACAAGAGAATAATGTATCTTCTTATATAAGGAGATAAATTATCTTCTCTAACCACTAAAATCATGACATGTATATCATTTAATCATTTTCTACAAAAATATTTTTAAAACTAAACAAAACAATACACATGTCATTATTTTACTAGCTGAAGGAGGTAAGTTATCTTCTCGCATGAGGAAATATTTTCTTCTCTAAATATAATTAATGTCATTTCTTTATTAATTATATTCAAACTTCAATTTACTCCTTATCTAATAAGCAATAAGTAAATAAGTAAACAAGGACAACTATGAAATCCTGATTTTGTTCAGACCCAAAAATTGTAATGCTAAAATAATAAAATAAAAATGTATTGGTCAATATCAAAAAAGAAGATTATTAGTATTTATCATTCAAAAATAATATAAAATAAAACTGAGAGGATAATTGTCTTAAAATTAAAGATATGAAGGTTAATATTTTGTTACACTAATTAAATTAAATTAATTCAAAACGAAAGCAAATAAAAATAGTAAAATATGACTGTACCAAAAATTCAAAAAGATAATTTTTCATATTTACCTTTTTGAAAAAATTAAATAATCTAAAGATAATTATAAGAGATAGAGGGTGATCAGTTAACATATTTTTTTTAAACAAACCTATCATAAAGACATACTTCTTATTAACAAAACCCCCAAGTGCAATTAGAAATAATTTTAGGTCTTCAATTGAAATACAAGAAAATAAAATAAAAGAGAATACTGAAGTAACATGCGATAGTCCCAAAGATATAACTCTTTGAGTCATAGGTGTGTTAAAGTCAAATTCAAATATATATTTATTTTATTTTTATATAATTAAATACTAATTAATTTATTAATTTTCATTTCCATAAATAATAATAATAATAAATATTAAATTAATAAAATATACTTGTCTAAAAACATTTAATTTAAAAATTATTTTGGGAATCTTGTAGTGATGTTAATGCTCCTATAGTTTCTTACTTTCTACTTCGAGCCGAAAAATGATTTCAATTATTGATACTACCTCTGCTATCTTTCGAAATCGGAAGTCGATTCACAATCAATGCAATATCTTCTCCTATTAATTTCCTTTCAATTAATTAAATAATTTATTAATAAAATCAAATCAGCCCGAAATCAATTATTAACTCAAAATTACTTAGTTTTGATTTTTCATATTGCGTCTAAGGATATGTATGTATAAGATAAATTCTAGCCAGACACAATAATAAATAATATTATTTTGCTTTAGTAAATATTTTTTAATATAATAAGCTAAGAAAATTACAAAATAATAAATAACATGATAAATATAAAATAAAAACTAACTAAATCCTAAAATAATGTTTTATAAATTCAAATATTTTGGATCTAACAATT